TCCAGTATTGGGCCCCTACTTAAACAAGATGGGTCCTACACAGATGACAGCAAGGAAATGAGTGAGCTACTCAAGTCCCAATATGACTCAGTTTTTAGCAAGCCGCTAACCAGACTGAGAGTCGAAGATCAAAATGAATTTTTTATGAGAGAGCCACAGAATTTGGTTAACACAAGCCTATCCGATGTTATCCTGACGCCAAATGACTTCGAACAGGCGATAAATGACATGCCCATGCACTCTGCCCCCGGGCCAGACTCGTGGAACTCCGTGTTCATCAAAAACTGCAAGAAGCCCCTATCACGAGCCTTTTCCATCCTATGGAGAGGGAGCATGGACACGGGGGTCGTCCCACAGTTACTAAAAGCAACAGACATAGCCCCACTCCACAAAGGGGGCAGTAAAGCAACAGCAAAGAACTACAGACCGATAGCACTAACATCCCATATCATAAAAATCTTTGAAAGGGTCCTAAGAAGCAAGATCACCACCCATCTAGAAACCCATCAGTTACACAACCCAGGGCAACATGGGTTTAGAACAGGTCGCTCCTGTCTGTCTCAACTATTGGATCACTACGACAAGGTCCTAGATGCACTAGAAGACAAAAAGAATGCAGATGTAATATATACAGACTTTGCAAAAGCCTTCGACAAGTGTGACCATGGCGTAATAGCACACAAAATGCGTGCTAAAGGAATAACAGGAAAAGTCGGTCGATGGATCTATAATTACCTCACTAACAGAACACAGAGAGTAGTCGTCAACAGAGTAAAGTCCGAGGCAGCTACGGTGAAAAGCTCTGTTCCACAAGGCACAGTACTCGCTCCCATCTTGTTCCTCATCCTCATATCCGACATAGACAAGGATGTCAGCCACAGCACCGTGTCTTCCTTTGCAGATGACACCCGAATCTACATGACAGTGCCTTCCATTGCAGACACTGCAAGGCTCCAGGCGGACATCAACAATATCTTTCAGTCGGCTGCAGAAAACAATATGAAGTTCAACGATGAGAAATTTCAATTACTCAGATATGGTAAACACGAGGAAAATTAAATCTTTATCAGAGTACAAAACAAATTCTGGCCACAAAATAGAGCGAAACACCAACGTCAAAGACCTGGGAGTGATCATGTCGGAGGATCTCACCTTCAAGGACCATAACATTGTATCAATTGCATCTGCTAGAAAAACGACAGGATGGATAATGAGAACCTTCAAAACTAGGGAGGACAAGCCCATGATGACACTCTTCAGGTGAAATTGCTGACCTAGAAAATGTACAGAGAACCTTCATGGCACGCATAACGGAGATAAAACACCTCAATTACTGGGAGCGCTTGAGGTTCCTAAACCTGTATTCCCTGGAATGCAGGTGGGAGAGATACATGATTATATACACCTGGAAAATCCTAGAGGGACTAGTACCGAACTTGCACATCGAAAACCACTCACTACGAAAGCAAAAGACTTGGCAGACGATGCAACATCCCCCCAATGAAAAGCAGGGGTGTCACTAGCACGTTAAGAGACCATACAATAAGTGTCAGGGGCCCGAGACTGTTCAACTGCCTCCCAGCATGCATAAGGGGGATTACCAACAGACCCCTGGCAGTCTTCAAGCTGGCACTGGACAAGCGCTTAAAGTCGGTTCCTGACCAGCCGGGCTGTGGCTCGTACGTTGGTTTGTGTGCAGCCAGCAGTAACAGCCTGGTTGATCAGGCTCTGATCCACCAGGAGGCCTGGTCACAGACCGGGCTGTGGGGGCGTTGACCCCCGGAACTCTCTCCAGGTAAACTCCAGGTCTTCTTCAGATTATAAATGATAATATCCCATTCCCCATGAGCTGTATGGCCCTTATGTCATACAGCTCATTGGTTTGGTGCTTAGGGGGGTCTAGCGCTTCCCCATGAATTTAATAATAATAGTTGAGTGACTATCAGAATAGTGTTCCCAGCAGATAACTTCAACAAACAAACAGAGAGAGAGAGTAGAGGGCAACGAGTGACTAGCTCCCTTAAGGTTTACTATACAAATAGTAGGAGTCTAAGAAATAAGATAGATGAGCTAAGATTACTTGCAAGTGTAGATAATATAGATATTATTGCTATAACAGAGACCTACTTCAACATGAAAGATAGAGAAATGCCTTCTGAATACAACATACAGGGTTATAAACTATTCCACACTGATAGGGTCAACAGGAAGGGTGGTGGAGTGGTGATGTATGTCAGAGAAAATTTAAATTGTTGTGTTAGACATGATATAAGATTAGTAACATCAGACACAGAATCTGTTTGGCTACAGTTTCTCGGGGGTTGTGAAAAGTTAATTTTGGGTGTGATGTATAGGCCCCCAAACCTTGATAGAGAGTGCAGTAAGCTGCTATGGGGTGAAATTCATAAGGCATCTAGATATGAAAATGTTGTGTTAATGGGAGATTTTAACTTTAGACAAATTGATTGGAACAATGTGACAGGAAATCTTGAGTCTAGTGACTTTCCTGGTATGGTTCTGGATTGCTTTTTAAAACAGTTTGTGATAGAACCAACTAGAGGAAACAACCTGCTTGACTTGGTTCTTGCCAACAAAGAATCACTAATTAATGATCTTGAGGTTAATGATGAGCTTGGGAAAAGTGATCACAAATCACTTAATTTCAGTATATCATGGAATTACCCAGATAATTGCAATCAAGTCTCTGTCCCAGACTTCTGCTTGGCCCATGTCATGGCACTGAGAAATTACCTGGGTCAGGTTGGTGGTGTTGGTTGCCAATAAGATGTTTTTCAGAGCATAGTGCTAGCTACCCAGACAACTTTTGTTCCGAGTAGAGAAATTAGATCTAACAAAAATGATCCCAAATGGATGAACAATAGATTAAAACATCTCATTGGTCAAAAGAGAGGCATATATAGGCATATCAAAAGAGGGGATGGGCAGTTAAGAAATTAATATATTCAGTTAAAGAGAGAAATAAAAAAAGGAATAAGAAAAGCAAAAAGGGATTATGAGGCTAAGGTTGCAAGGGATTCAAAGACTAACCCAAAAGGGGTTGTTTCAGGTATACAGAATTAAGATTAGGGACAAGATACGCCCACTTAAGAGTAACTCAGGTCAGATCACTGACAGTGATAAGGAAATGTGCAAAATTTTCAATACTTACTTCCTCTCAGTTTTTACTCAGGAAGATACTAACGAAATTCCAGAAATAATAAATTATGTAGAACAGGAACGATAATAAACTATGCACGATTGCGGTAACTAGTGACATGGTCCTCAGACAAATAGAGAAATTAAAACCTAACAAATCCCCAGGCCCTGATGAACTGTTTGCAAGGGTGTTAAAGGAATGTAAAGAGGAACTTAGCAAACCTTTGGCTAATCTTTTCAACATATCACTACAAACTGGCATAGTGCCAGATAAGTGGAAAATGGCAAATGTAATACCTTCTTACAAGGTAGGTGACAGGTCCTTGACTTCAAACTATAGACCAATAAGCCTTACCTCCATAGTGGGAAAATTTATGAAATCAGTAATTGCCGAGGCAATTCATAGCCATCTTAAAGACATAAACTGATTAATGAATCTCAACACGTTTTACAAAGGGGCGTTCCTGTCTTACAAATTTATGAACTTTTTTCACTTAGGTATTTGAGGAGGTAGATCATGGTATTGAATATGATATTGTGTATATGGACTTCAGTAAGGCTTTCGATAGAGTTCCACATCAGAGGCTATTGAGGAAACTTAAGGGCACGGAATAGGAAAATTTTTTCCTGGGTAGAGGCATGGTTGACAAATAGGCAGCAAAGAATTTGCATAAATGGGGAGAAATCAGAATGGGGGCACATCACAAGCGGTGTTCCACAGGGATCAGTGTTGGGCCCCTTGTTGTTTACAATTTACATAACGACATAGATGGGGGAATAAATCGCAACATAAGCAAATTTGCTGATAACGCCAAAATAGGCTGTCCAGTGCATTCTAATAAAGACATTAGAGCACTCCAGGATGATTTGAATAGACTGATGCAATGGTCGGAGAAGTGGCAGATGCAGTTTAATATAGACAAATGCAAAGTTCTATATGTTGGAAAGGATAATAACCATGCCACATATAAACTAAATAATGTAGATCTTAATATTACGGATTGTGAAAAGGATTTAGGCGTTCTGGTTAGCATAATCTGAAACCAAGACAACAGTGCATAAGTGTTCGCAATAAAGCTAAGAGAATCCTTGGCTTCATATCAAGAAGCATAAATAATAGAAATCCTCAGGGTGTTCTTCAACTCTATATATCCTTGGTTAGGCCTCATTTAGATTATGCTGCACAGTTCTGGTCACCATATTACAGAATGGATATAAATGTGCTGGAACACTTACAGAGGAGGATGACAAAGTTGATCCCATGTATCAGAAATCTTCCCTTTGAGGATTGGCTGAGGGCCCTGAATCTGCACTATCTAGAAAGGCATAGAATTAGGGGGGATATGATTGAGGTGTATAAATGGAAAACAGGAATGAATAAAGGGGATGTAAATAGCATGGTAAAAATATCTAGCCTAGACTGGACTCGCAGCAGTGGTTTTAAGCTGGGAAAATTCAGATTCAGGAAGGATATAGGAAAGCATTGGTTTGGTAATAGAGTTGTGGATGATTGGAACAAACTCCCGAGCACCGTTATAAAAGCTAAGACGTTGTGTAGTTTCAAAAATAGGTTAGATAAATACATGAGTGGGTGTGGGTGGGTGCGAGTTGGACCTGACTAGCTGGTGCTACTGGGTCAGATGCCATGCTCCTTCCTTAAGTGGAGGTGACCTGACTAGGTGGCCCATGGACCTGCCCTGCATGGGCCAGTAGGCCTGCTGCAGTGTTCTTTCTTATGTTCTTATATGAATGAGACTTTCAAGTCTTAGGTTGCTTGTTCATATGTATTCAGATATACTTTTATGACTTATTTTTTGTAACCTCTTCATCTTGTTCCTTCAAAGGACTCTGAGGGCCAGACCCAGAAGACACACTGGTGGCAGGGGTCCAGTGCTGGTATCATTGACTTCAGCAACGAGGAGGCGGTAGCATGGTGGTCCCAGCGGCTGCTCGACCTGAAGGAAGAAACCGGAATCGACAGCTTCAAGTTTGATGCCGGGGAAGCTTCCTGGCTGCCCGATGTGTACACTCTCAACGTTGATGAGAGGTTCTGGCCCAACGCTTACACCCAGGAGTGAGTGAGATACTACTGTTTCTGTTGCAACTTTGTGAATAACTCATTACCACTGTAACTTGTATAGTTACCAAAACACTGGGCCCAGTCCCTGGACATATTATGTGCCTCTGTAATCTTTTGACTACCACCTGATGGATGGGTTCTGGGTTCACAATAGAGGTACTAAAGTAAATGCTGAGAGGTCTCTCACACACACGAGATATATTAAGAGAACTTGCATGCATTTTACACTGTTGAGGCTCTTATTTTCACTTGTCGTCTCCCAGGTACGTGGATACAGTATCACAGTTTGGAAACATGATAGAGACGCGAGTAGCGAGAGGCACACAGCGACACAACATCTTCGTCAGGATGCTGGACAAAGACTCCATCTGGGGGTCCTACAATGGATTGAAGTCCCTGGTTCCTACACTCCTTCACTTCGGTAAGGTTTCTCACTTGTAGCTGTGATTTCGTTTTTTCAACTAACTGAATCTGTCCATTTTTTCTTCTTATAAATATTGTTATTATTGTTCAAAATTCCTTTTCCTGGTGGTTTACATATGCTCATTAATATTTTTAATGGTAGCTGCCTCAAGGTATCTTGTTTCATTTATAAATTTCATCATACATTCTTAAGGTCATTGTCAGCACTATTTTTACTACCAGGAAGGAAGGGTGGGAGGTAGGAAGGGTGGGAAGATAGATGGGAAGTAGACAGGGTGGGGAGATGGGTGGGAAGATGGGTGGGGGGTAGGCAGGGTGGGAAGATGGATGGGGGGCAGGCAGGGTGGGAAGATGGGTGAGAGGTAGACAGGGTAGGATGATGAGTGTGAGGTAGGCAGGGTTGGAAGATAGGTGGGGGTAGGCAGGGTGGGAGGAATAGCAGGAGGGAGAGAGGAAGGAAGAGGGAGGGAGGGAAGAAAGAAGGGAAGGGGATCAGCTTTTTCTTCATCTTGATACAGTACTGAAGTATAACTAACTCAATAGTCACATCTTAGATAAAATACTTACTTCATAACAATGAGAGTGGAATAATATGAATATTATTCCACTCTCATTGTAGTGCGGATGATAAGAAACAGATGATTGCTGATGTTATGAATGAAAAGAAGTTGGATGTCCTGGCCCTAAGCGAAACAAAGCTGAAGGGGGTAGGGGAGTTTTGGTAGGAAGAAATAAATGGGATTAAATCTGGAGTATCTGAGAGAGTTACAGCTAAGGAAGGGGTAGCAATAATGTTGAAGGATCAGTTATGGAAGAAGAAAAGAGAATATGAATGTGTTAATTCAAGGATTATGTGGATTAAAGTAAAGGTTGGATGCGAAAAGTGGGTCATAATAACGTGTATGCACCTGGAGAAGAGAGGAATGTAGAGGAGAGAGAGAGATTTTGCGAGATGTTAAGTGAATGTATAGGAACCTTTGAACCAAGTGAGAAAGTAATTGTGGTAGGGGACCTGAATGCTAAAGTAGGAGAAACTTTTAGAGAGGGTGTGGTAGGTAAGTTTAAGTTTGGGGTGCCAGGTGTAAATGATAATGGGAGCCCTTCGATTGAACTTTGTATAGAAAGGGGTTTAGTTATAGGTAATACATATTTTAAGAAAAAGAGTATAAATAAGTATACAAGATATGATGTAGGGCAAAATGACAGTAGTTTGTTGGATTATGTATTGGTAGATAGAAGACTGTTGAGTAGACTTCAGGATGTACATGTTTATAGATGGGCCACAGATATATCACATAACTTTTTAGTTGTAGCTACACTGAGAGTAAAAGGTAGATGGGATACAAGGAGAATAGAAACATCAGGGAAGAGAGTGGTGAAGGTTTATAAACTAAAAGAGGAGGCAGTTAGGGTAAGATATGAACACCTATTGGAGGATAGATGGGCTAATGAGAGCATAGGCAATGGGGTCGAAGAGGTATGGGGTAGGTTTAAAAATGTAGTGTTAGAGTGTTCAGCAGAAGTTTGTGGTTACAGGAAAGTGGGTGCGGGAGGGAAGAGGAGCGATTGGTGGAATGATGTAGAGAGTAGTAAGGGAGAAAAAGTTAGCATATGAGAAGTTTTTACAAAGTAGAAGTGATGCAAGGAGGGAAGAGTATATGGAGAAAAAGAGAGGGGTTAAGAGAATGGTGAAGCAATGTAAAAGAGAGCAAATGAGAGAGTGGGTGAGATGTTATCAACAAATTTTGTTGAAAATAAGAAAAAGTTTTGGAGTGAGATTAAAAAGTTAAGGAAGCCTAGAGAACAAATGGATTTGTCAGTTAAAAATAGGAGAGGAGAGTTATTAAAATAGAGAGTTAGAGGTATTGGGAAGATGGAGGGAATATTTTGAGGAATTGTTAAATGTTGATGAAGATAGGGAAGCTGTGATTTCGTGTATAGGGCATGGAGGAATAACATCTTGTAGGAGTGAGGAAGAGCCAGTTGTGAGTGTGGGGGAAGTTCGTGAGGCAGTAGGTAAAATGAAAGGGGGTAAGGCAGACGGGATTGATGGGATAAAGATAGAAATGTTAAAAGCAGGTGGGGATATAGTTTTGGAGTGGTTGGTGCTATTATTTAATAAATGTATGGAAGAGGGTAAGGTACCTAGGGATTGGCAGAGAGCATGCATATTTCCTTTGTATAAAGGCAAAGGGGACAAAAGAAAGTGCAAAAATTATAGGGGGATAAGTCTGTTGAGTATACCTGGTAAAGTGTATGGTAGAGTTGTTATTGAAAGAATTAAGAGTAAGGCGGAGAATAGGGTAGCAGATGAACAAGGAGGCTTTAGGAAAGGTAGGGGGTGTGTGGACCAGGTGTTTACAGTGAAACATATAAGTGAACAGTATTTAGATAAGGCTAAAGAGGTTTTTGTGGTATTTATTGATTTTGAAAAGGCGTATGACAGGGTGGATAGGGGGGCAATGTGGCAGATGTTGCAGGTGTATGGTATAGGAGGTAGGTTACTGAAAGCAGTGAAGAGTTTTTACGAGGATAGTGAGGCTCAAGTTAGAGTATGTAGGAAAGAGGGAGATTATTTCCCAGTAAAAGTAGGCCTTAGACAAGTATGTGTGATGTCACTGTGGTTGTTTAATATATTTATAGATGGGGTTGTAAGAGAAGTAAATGCGAGGGTCTTGGCAAGAGGCGTGGAGTTAAAAGATAAAGAATCACACATAAAGTGGAGTTGTCACAGTTGCTCTTTGCTGATGACACTGTCCTCTTGGGAGATTCTGAAGAGAAGTTGCAGAGGTTGGTGGATGAATTTGGTAGGGTATGTAAAAGAAGAAAATTAAAAGTGAATACAGGAAAGAGTAAGGTTATGAGGATAAAAAGATTAGGTGATGAAAGATTGGATATCAGATTGGAGGGAGAGAGTATGGAGGAGGTGAATGTATTCAGATATTTGGGAGTGGACATGTCAGCGGATGGATCTATGAAAGATGAGGTGAATCATAGAATTGATGAGGGGAAAAGGGTGAACGGTGCACTTAGGAGTCTGTGGAGGCAAAGAACTTTGTCCTTGGAGGCAAAGAGGGGAATGTATGAGAGTATAGTTTTACCAACGCTCTTATATGGGTGTGAAGCATGGGTGGTGAATGTTGCAGCGAGGAGAAGGCTGGAGGCAGTGGAGATGTCATGTCTGAGGGCAGTGTGTGGTGTGAATATAATGCAGAGAATTTGTAGTTTGGAAGTTAGGAGAAGGTGCGGGATTGCCAAAACTGTTGTCCAGAGGGCTGAGGAAGGGTTGTTGAGGTGGTTCGGACATGTAGAGAGAATGGAGCGAAACAGAATGACTTCAAGAGTGTATCAGTCTGTAGCAGAAGGAAGGCAGGGTAGGAGTCAGCCTAGGAAAGGTTGGAGGGACAGGGTAAAGGAGGTTTTGTGTGCGAGGGGCTTGGACTTTCAGCGGGCATGCGTGAGCGTGTTTGATAGGAGTGAATGGGGACAAATGGTTTTTAATACTTGACATGCTGTTGGAGTGTGAAGAAAGTAACATTTATGAAGGGATTCAGGGAAACCAGCAGGCCAGACTTGAGTCCTGGAGATGGGAAGTACAATGCCTGCACTCTGAAGGAGGGGTGTTAATGTTGCAGTTTAAAAACTGTAGTGTAAAACACCCTTCTGGCAAGACAGTGATGGAGTGAATGATGGTGAAAGTTTTTCTTTTTCGGGCCACCCTGCCTTGGTGGGAATCGGCCAGTGTGTTAATAATAAAAAAATATTCAAATAAATGCTAGGCAAGTCCACAGGGATCTTTACAGTGTCTTACCACACACCTATGGACATCAGTCTACAAATGCATTGATAGTAACTACTTTAAGTCAATTTGTCCTCGGTAATATCCCAGACCCTCAGCTGTGTACAACACAACCTGTGAACTCCACACTTCATGGACGATCATGACATTCCCACATAAGGGACTGCCTCAAAGTTCTCTGTTTCCCTGACGACTGGGGTACCTTCTCTGACCCTGACCTCCCGCAGCGGAGGTTTAGCCTGCGCTGACCCTGTATGGCCCGATTCTTTCCTGCCATAGCTAAGAAACAAGGGACCTTTGTTTTATATTCTCAATAAGATCGGCCTTGAAACCCATCATTAAGATTTATCTCAGATACAGCATATCCACTAGGTAACAAGGACAGTAATAGGTTTAGTGGAAAAACAGAAATGAGCAGGAAAGGTAAAGAAAAAGGAGGGTCTTTAAATATACATTATGCTAATAGCTGTAGTGCTAGGAATAAGATGGTGAGTTGAGATTAGTTGCTAGTGCAGGTAACATTGATGTATTTGCCATAACTGAGACGTGGTTTAATTCTAAAAGTCAGGACATGCCTGCAGAATGTCACATTCAGGGTTTTAAATTGTACCAAGTAGATAGAAGTATCAGGAAGGAGGGTGGGGTGGCACTGTATGTCCGAGATCACTTGAACTGTTACATAAAAATGAGTATTAAGTCTGAAGTAACACATGCAGAGTCTGGATAGAGTTTTCAGAGGGGCATGAAAAATTGATTTTAGGGGTGATATACCATCCCCCAAACTTAGATAAGGACCATGGGAGACTACTGTGAGAGGTAATTGTTAAGGCCACAGGGCATGATAACATAGTAATTCTAGGAGACTTTAACTTTAGTCATATTGATAGGAATTTCTTGACTGGGAATTTAGAATCTAATGACTTCTTACAAGTAGTTCAGGATTGTTTTTTGAAGCAGTTTGTGACAGAGCCTACAAAGGAAAATAACCTGCTTGACTTGGTTCTGGCAAACCAGGAAACCCTTGTTAATAATTTAGATATTACAAAGGAACTCAGCACAAGCAATAACAAATCAGTTACCTTTAGCATTGAATGGAAGTATGATAGGGATAATTCAGTAATGGTCCCAGATTTTCGCTTAGCAGATTACAATGGGCTTAAAGAACACTTATCTGTGGACTGGGGTAACAAAGAGAGCTATCAGTATGACAGCTTTCTTAACACAATACATGCTGCCCAAAGGACATTTATCCCATATAAGGAAATTAGAGGGAACAGAAATGACCCAAAATGGATGAATAATAGGCTCAAATATCTCTTAGGGCAGAAGAAAGGAATTTATAGGCGCATCAAAAGAGGTGAGGGTCATCTTATTAATCAGTAATTGACATTAAGAGGGACTTTAAAAAGGGGATAAGAAAAGCTAAACGGGAGTACGAAATTAAAGTTGCTAGGGATTCGAAAACTAAACCAAAAAGTTTTTTCCGGGTGTATAGAACAAAAGTTAGGGATAAGATAGGTCCCCTTAAAAATAACTATGGACATCTTACTGACAAAAAGAATGAAATGTGCTCGACTTTAAATAATTATTTTCTCACAGTTTTTACACAGGAGCACACTAACAATATCCCAGTAATTAATTTTTATAGTGGGCCTGAAGAAGAAAAATTATGTAACATCACATTCACTGGTGAAATGGTTATGAAACCAGTAGATTGACTGAAACAAAATAAATTGCCGGGTCTTGATGAGCATTTTTCAAGGGTTCTTAAGGAATGCAAAATAGAACTCTGTGAACTATTAACTAATATTTTTAATTTATCTCTTCAAACAGGTGTAGTGTCTGATATGTGGAAGATGGTTAATGTAATTCCTATTTTTAAAGCAGGAGACAAGTCGTTACCATCAAATTACCGCCTGATAAGGCTGACCTCAATTGTAGGCAAATTACTAGAGTCAATTATAGCTCAGATTATAAGAAGCCATCTCGATAAGCATAGCTTGATTAATGATACTCAGCATGGATTCACAAGAGGCCTTTCTTGTCTAACTAACTTGTTAACTTTCTTCAGTAAAGCTTTTGAGGCTGTTGATCACGATAAAGAATTTGATATTGTTTATTTAGATTTTAGTAAGGCTTTTGATAGAGTATGGCAACTCATGGCATTGGGGGAAAAGTGCTCTCATGGATCGAGTCATGGCTCACAGACAGGAAGTAGTGTGTGTGCATAAATGGGGTTAAATCCGAGTGGGGATCTGTAACAAGTGGCATTCCACAGGATCAGTCTTGGGCCCGTTGTTGTTTATAATATACAGTTGACCCCCGGTTTACGATATTATTTCACTCCAGAAGTATGTTCAGGTGCCAGTACTGAACGAATTTGTTCCCATAAGGAATATTGTGAATTAGATTAGTCCATTTCAGACCCCCAAACATACATGTACAAACGTACTTACATAAATACACTTACATAATTGGTCGCATTGGGAGCTGATCGTAAAGTGGGGGTCCACTGTATATCAATGATCCTGATGAGGGAATTACAAGTGATATGAGCAAATTTGCTGATGACACAAAGGTAGGTAGGATAATTGATTCAAACATAGATATCAGGGAACTTCAGACGGATTTAGACGAACTCAAAGCCTTGTCAGAAAAGTGGCATTTGCAGTTCAGTGTAGATAAATGCAAGGTTCTGAAGCTCAGGAGTGTCCATAACCCTAGCACTTATAAGTTAAATAATGTAGAACTTAGCCATACAGATTGCAAAAAGGACTTGGGGGTTATGATGAGCAGTAACCTTAAATCAAGACAGCAGTGCCTTAATGTACGTAATAAGGCACACAGATTATTGGGATATATATCATGAAGTGTAAGCAACAGAAGTTCAGAGGTTATATTACAGCTTTATGCATCATTAGTAAGGCCTTCCCTAGATTACACAGCTCAGTTCTGGTCTCCATATTACAGAATGGACATAAATTCGTTAGAAAATGTTCAGCGTAGAATGACTAAATTAATACATAGCATTAGAAATCTTCCTTATGAAGAAAGATTGAAGACCCTTAAATTACATTCACTTGTTAGACGTAGAATGAGGGGAGACATGATCGAAGTGTATAAGTGAAAGATGGGTATCAATAAAGGGATATAAATAAGGTCTTGAGGATATCTCTCCAAGAGAGAACCCACAATAATGGATTCAAATTAGACAAGTTTAGATTTAGAAAGAATATAGGAAGGTATTGGTTTGGAAATAGGGTAGTCGGTGAGTGGAACAGTCTCCCTATTAGGGTTATCGAGGCTAAAACCTAGGGTAGTTTCAAATTTAGGTTGGATAAATACATGAGTGAGAGGGGTTGCACATGGGTAAATAGAATTATCAAAGCTTATTTCTTGGGTAGCATTGAAAATTGGGTTGGGCAATTATTTTGTTAGTGGGATGCATTGTGAAGGACCTGCCTAATATGGGCCAACAGACTTGCTGCAGTGTTCCTCCTTTCTTATGTACAAGCCTCTTCCCTCAGGAATACTTGGCTACCCCTTCGTACTTCCTGATATGGTCGGTGGTAATGGCTACGGAGACTTACCTGGACGCGAGTTGTTTATGAGGTGGGCACAAGCCAATGCCTTCATGCCTGCCATCCAGTTCTCCTTCCTTCCTTGGAACTACGACGACCAGGTTAGCCAATTATTATATTCACTGATATTCACAAGTTATGCAGGGTGCAACTTAACAATGATTCAGAAGAGACTGAAATGTGTTGGTTATTTGTATACTATTCCATCTATTGATGTGACTTTATCCTTCATCTAATGTTCTTATTCAGCAAAATCAGAATCTTGTGGAAATAAAAGTGTAGAGGTAGGGGGAAGCAATCAGGTTTAGTCAGAGGAAACAAGCATCAAAGTACTCAGTACCTTTCCACAGAATGGAAAGGTACTGAGTTAAGATTATTGAAAATTTAGAAGGTTTCAAGATGAAATCTTGGAAAAACTTCATAGAGAACAAGACTCAGTGCCGTGGCTGGAACTATTCACAGCCCACAATACCGTGACTGAAACAATTCACAGCCCACAATACTGTGGCTGGAACACTTCACAACTAAACCACAACACTCTGGTAAACTTCGCAACTGACCCACAGTATCGTGACTGGAACAATTCACAACTAACCCACAATACCATAGCTTCAACAGTTCACAACTAACTCTCAATGTGGGAAAGAAACATTAGACGACATTTCGGTCCATCCTGGATCATTATTGCGACTTGATAATTCTCTAGAATGGAGTGAAATGTCTGAAGCTTCATATTTGGTATTGAGAATTAGTTACTTATTTACATTCACAGGTTTTGGAAAGAACAGTTTTACTGAGGCAACATTTTGTTCTGTGTAAACCTTTATCAAAATTCTACACTGAGTGAAAAATGACTCTTTTAAAGACCTACAGAGTGAAACATTACTTGATAATGCTCTACACAACAAAATATGACATAATAAAGCTTTACACAGAGTGAAACATGGCTTATGAAGCTCTCTACAGAGAAATACGATTTGACTAAGCAATGAATAGTGAAACATAACTTCTTAAAGCTCTACAAAGGGTGAAACATGAATTTTAAAGCACTGTACAGACCGACATGACTTGATACTGGTCTATGCACAGTGAAACCTGACTTGACAAAGCTCTTCACAGTGATACTAGACTTGAAAAAGCTCTGTACGGCAAAACATGTATAGAGCTCGACACAGAGCGACTCTAATCCTTCATACTTGCCCACATTGCTCTAATTCCTATGAATCCCATACTAACCGCAGTGCAGGATTTATCAGGCTGAATTCCAGTTGTTGTATAATATTATTAGATTGCTTACATACAATGTCGCTATGTAATTACAAATAAATTTTAGGTGTAATATTATGCCCTCTCAGGCAGTGATCATTAAAATAACATTAAACCCAGTTCATGGAAGATTTTATTTTTCATATGTAGCCTAGCTGGTCAAAATAGTCATAATCCACAAAGGATGTATACACCGAGAGGTGTATTTCTCTCAGCATATATATATATATTTTTTTTTTTTTTTTTTTTTTTTTTTTTTTTTTTCAACAAGTCGGCCGTCTCCCACCGAGGCAGGGTGACCCAAAAAAGAAAGAAAACAATTTTCTTCTTATTCTTTTTAGTAATCTTTACAGGAAAAGGGGTTACTAGCCCATTGTTCCCGGCATTTTAGTTGACTTTTACAACACTCATGGCTTACGGAGGAAAGATTCTTATTCCACTTCCCCATGGATATAAAAGGAAAAGTAATAAGACCAAGAACTATTAAGATAAAATCAAAGAAAACTCAGATGAGTGTGTATAAATAAATGTGTACATGTATGTGTAGTGTGACCTAAGTGTAAGTAGAAGTAGCAAGACATGCCTGTAATCTTGCATATTTATGAGACAGACAAAAGACATCAGCAATCCTACCATCATGTAAAACAATCACAGGCTTTCGTTTTACACTCACTTGGCAGGACGGTAGTACCTCCCTGGATGGTTGCTGTCTACCAACCTACGTTGTTTTAGGGATTAAGTATTCTTGTCTGGTGTGAAAAGGTTACGTACATCCTTAATGACTGTAATGTAATTGATAGGCTTTAAACTCCATAACGTACCAACTCAGTAAAGGTCATACAACACATGGGGTGTAATGTTTCATCCATGGAAGAGAAGGGTAACTCAAATTCCATGGATCAAGAGTCGTTTACCAACAACGAGGCATCCCATTTTTCTATTGAGGAAGATTTTTTAGTGTGTAAATCACTTTCATGCAAGATGAAACAAGCCATTTCAGAGAAAGATCCCAATGAAAATAAGTCTCACTGGCTTTAGGTAGTTATCCTAGGTTTAATTTACATAATGTTTTGCATATAATACTGTAAAATCATTTGTAGATTAGCTAACTGAAGTTTATCTTCCTGCAGGTGACGGAGCTGAGCTTGGAGGTGACAAGGTTACACTCACAGATGGGTCCACTGCTGCAGCGCTTGGCGCAGGAGGCCACCACCAGCGTGGCACCCATCGCCAGACCTACCTGGTGGCTATGTCCTGACCTCGAGTCCTGCCTCACTGCTGACCAACGTGAGTACTCGGAGAGGATATCGAGTCCACCATGTGGAGCTAGTTGTGTTTAACATTTTTGGGAGTTAAATCTACATAATTTATCATCAGTCTATGATTACAAGTTATTTGTTTATTGTATATATATACTGGCAGTTTGGAGGGATATGTTGTGTATCTTCATATGTACAGTGGACCCTCGAGTTTCAGCAGCCTCGACTTTCGTGAAATTCGACCTTCGGCGAGTTTTTTTGGCAAAATTTGGCCTCGAGTTTCGTGTTTCGGCGACTGTCCGGTACCCATCCGCCCATCACCGCGCACACCAAGCCAGTCTCCCATGCCATTCACGCTCAGTGTGCCATTGTTTACCAACACGTGACCATCACCCCGCTGGTTCATACAATACATTTCATAATAATCCATTGTTTTTTGTGCTTGCAACTGCTAAATAAGTCATCATGGACCCAAGGAAAGCTAGTGCAAGCCCTTTGATAAATAAAGTGAGGAACACGATCCAGAGAGATTTTGAAGGGTTTGAGGCAGACCCTGTCCCTGCCGACCCTCTGCCTGTTGTGGAAGGTGTTGTGGCATTGGACAAGTCCATGGGGTTGGAGGTGAGTGACGGGGATGTGGAAGAGTTGGTGGAGGACCACAGGGAAGAGCTAACCACTGACAAACTGCAAGAGCTTCAACTGGAACAGCATCAGACCACAGCCAGGAAACTTGCTTCAGAGGAGGAGGAAAAGAGAGTGAAGGAGGTTCCTTCTTCAGTGATTAAGGACATGTGTGGAATGTGGAATGAGTTGCAAAGTTTTGTTGAAAAGTATCACCCTGACCAAGCTGAAACAAGCCATATCTGCAACATGTACAATGACAGTGTTGTGTCCCATTTCAGGGAAATCTTAAAGAAACGCCAGAAAAAGACCTCTCTGGACAGATATTTTGTGCGCCAGGGGTCCAGTGACTCTCAAGTTGTTCCCAGCGGCATTAAAAGAAGAAGGGAAGTAACCCCAGATAAGGACTTGCTACCTAAAGTCCTAATGGAAGGAGATCCTCCTTCCAAACAAGAGTGTACACCTTCCTCCTATCCCCTCCTCCCGTCTTCCATCCACCCAGAAGTCTTCAGTAAAGGTAAGTGTAATGTTATTATTATTTTTTATATGCATGTGCTTGAGTTCTCATTGATTTCAGTATATAAATCTTTATTTAATTTGAAAAAAAATATTTTATTTTAATATTTTTGGGTGCCTGGAATGGATTAATTTTATTTCCATTATTTCTTATGGGGAAAATGGTTTCGAGTTTCGTGAATTTTGACATTCGGCAGGCTCTCTGGAACGGATTAATCACGAAACTTGGGGGTCCACTGTATATACTTCTAAACTGTTGTATTCTGAGCACCTCTGCAAAAACAGTGATTATGTGTGAGTGAGGTGAAAGTGTTGAATGATGATGAAAGTATTTTCTTTTTGGGGATTTTCTTTCTTTTTGGGTCACCCTGCCTCAGCGGGAGATGGCCAAGTTGTTAAAAAAAAAGTATACTGGATCTGGATACAACAGTGTGTAAAACAATGTATATGTATACTGAAACTATCTAAAGTTTTTCTTAGCCGTGCAAGTAATATTAAAGATAAGGGATCTAGTTTTCAGGTTTCAGTGTAACGGGGTGACATCAGGAGAGCATATAAATCTTTAGAGGAAGGAAAGCGGGGTAGGGGTTGTCCTCGTAAAGGTTGGAGGGAGGAAGTAAAGGAGGTTTTGTGGGCGAGGGGGCTTGGACTTCCAGCAAGCATGTGTGAGCATGTTAGATAGGAGTGAATGGAGATGAATGGTTTTTGGGACCTGACGAGCTATTGGAGTGTAAGCAGGGTAATATTTTGTGGAGGGAATCAGGGGGACCGGTTAGCCGGACTTGAGTCCTGGAAATGGAAAGTACAGTGCCTGCACTTTAACCCTTAAACTGTCCAAACAAATTTACGTTCACATGCGTAGTGCTCCAAAAGTAGATTTACGTTTTTTTACATACAGTGGAACCTCAAAAATCGAATGTATCACATATCGAACATTTCGAAAATAGAACCATTTTTTCGGACAAACTGTGTCCCAATTATCGAACGCGCCCCTATTTTCGGACCGCCAGGTACGGGACCTGTCTGCCGGCCCACTCTGTCTGCACCCCCGCGCAGGTGCCGTGAGCAGTCTAGCTTTGTTTATGCTTGAGTAAACACTAGCCTGCACTCTCATTCACGCATTTTACGATTATTTCGTTGTGTTTAGTGCTTGTGGGACTGTGAAATAAGCTGCCATGGGCCCAAAGAAACTTGCTAGTAGTACCCCTGTGGTAAAGAATGTGAGAAACGCCATAGATGTGAAGAAGGAAATAATACAGAAGTATGAGAGTGGTGTGAGACTTATTGAGCTTGCCAGGATGTATGGGAAAAACAAGTCGACCATCAGTTCTATCCTGTCAAAGAAAGAACAAATCAAGGAAGCTGATGTTGCGAAAGGTGTTAATATAGGGAGTGGATGAGGTGCCTTCTTCAAAGATTAAGGAGATTTGTGCCAAGTGGAATGATGTCCAAATGTTTGTGCAGAAGTACCACCTTGAGCAAGCTGAAACAAGCCGTCTTTGCAACAAGTTCAGTGACAGAACCATGTCCCATTTTAGGGAAATGTTAGAGGCGCCAGAAACAGAGGACTGTGGACAGTTATTTTGTGAGACAGGGGTCCAGTGACTCTCAAGCTGGTCTTAGTGGCATTAAAAGACAGAGAAGGGAAGTAACCCCAGAGAGGGCTTTACCTGAAGTCCTCATGGAGGGGGATTCTCCTTCCAAACACTAACCCCAACTCCCTCTCTCCTCCTCCCTATCTTCCAGATGCCATCACCAATCTTCAATAAAGGTAAGTAAAAATGTTATTTTATATGTATTACTATACATAATTAAAAACTATAGTATTTGTTGTATGTAAAACTGTAATTAATCTCTATAAAATGTATTTTTTGTGTGAATATTTTTGGGTTTCTGGAACGGATTAATTGTATTTCCATTATTTCTTATGGGAAATATTGTTTCGAATTTCAGACTTTTCGAAATTAGAACTAGCTCCTGGAACGGATTAAGTTCAATTTTTGAGGTTCCACTGTACATGTACATCCATTGTTTGTGGTGGTTTTTGATTAAGTGCAACTGTGAAATAAGTAACCATGTCCCCAAAGAAAGTTCCTAGTAAAGTTCCTTTGGTAGAGAAAGTGAGAAACAAGATGGAATTTATGAAAGAAGTTATTGAAAAATATGGTTTGGTGTGCGGGTGCTGGAACTTGCCAGGATGTATGGGAAAAGTCAACAATCACTTCCATCCTGCCACTGCCTCAACATAGCAGCCACTGCCTCACCTCACCAGCCACTGCCTCACCACACTAGCCACTGCCTCACCTCACCAGCCACTGCCTCACCACACTAGCCACTGCCTCACCTCACCCACCACTGCCTCACCACACCAGCCACTGCCTTGCCTCACCAGCCACTGCCTCACCTCACCAGCCACTGCCTCCCCTCACCAGCCACTGCCTCACCTCACCACCCACTGCCTCACCTCACCAGCTACTGCCTCACCTCACCAGCCACTGCCTCACTTCACCAGCCACTGCCTCACCACACCAGCCACTGCCTCACCTCACCAGCCACTGCCTCACCTCACCAGCCACTGCCTCTCCTCACCAGCCACTGCCTCACCACACCAGCCACTGCCTCACCTCACCAGCCACTGCCTCACCACACCAGTCACTGCCTCATCTTACCAGCCACTGCCTCACCTCACCAGCCACTGCCTCATTTTACCAGCTACTGCCTCACCTCACCAGCCACTACTTCACCAGCCACTGCTTCGATTCACCAGCCACTGCCTCGCCTCACCAGCCACTGCCTCACCTCACCAGTAACTGCCTTGCCTTACCAGCCACTGCCTCACCTCACCAGCCACTGCCTCACCTCACCAACCACTGCCTCACCTCACCAGCCACTGCCTCACCTCACCAGCCACTGCCTCACCACACCAGCTACTGCCTCACCTCACCAGCTACTGCCTCACCTCACCAGCCACTGCCTCACCACACCAGCTACTGCCTCACCTCACCAGCTACTGCCTCACCACACCAGCCACTGCCTCACCTCACCAGCCACTGCCTCACCTCACTAGCCACTGCCTCACCTCACCAGCCACTGCCTCTCCTCACCAGCCACTACCTTGCCTCACCAGCCACTGCCTCACCTCACCAGCCACTGTTTCACCTCACCAGCCACTGTTTCACCTCACCAGCCACTGCCTCACCTCACCAGCCACTGCCTCACCTCACTAGCCACTGCCTCACCTCACCAGCCACTGCCTCTCCTCACCAGCCACTACCTTGCCTCACCAGCCACTGCCTCACCTCACCAGCCACTGTTTCACCTCACCAGCCCCTGTTTCACCTCACCAGCCACTGCCTCACCTCACCAGCCACTGCCTCACCACACCAGCCACTGCCTCACCACACCAGCCACTGCCTCACCACACCAGCCACTGCCTCACCACACCAGCCACTGCCTCACCTCACCAGCCACTGCCTCATCTTACCAGCCACTGCCTCACCTCACCAGCCGCTGCCTCACCTCACCAGCCGCTGCCTCACCTCACCAGCTGCTGCCTCACCTCACCAGCCACTGCCTCACCTCACCAGCCACTGCCTCACCTCACCAGCCACTGCCTCACCCCACCAGCCACTGCCTCACCTCACCAGCCCACTGCCTCACCTCACCAGCCACTGCCTCTCCTCACCAGCTACTACCTTGCCCTACCAGCCACTGCCTCACCTCACCAGCCACTGTTTTCACCTCACCAGCCACTGTTTCACCTCACCAGCCACTGCCTCACCTCACCAGCCACTGCCTCACCACACCAGCCACTGCCTCACCACACCAGCCACTGCCTCACCTCACCAGCCACTGCCTCACCTCACCAGCCACTGCCTCATTTTACCAGCT